AAGGAAAGCCAACATCTTGGCCCTAGCCTTCCAAGGTCAGTTAAGACTCAGGACATATGAGAACTTGAACTGTATCATCATGTAACTCAGTAGTGTCCCAAATTTTCTGATCAAGGAGATTATGGGGCCAAAAAGGAAAGTGATCAATGATGTAGAGTGTGCCTAAGAAGAGTCACATGGAGAGAAAACATTCTCTCAGGCTTTCACAGAGAGCACATTGGCCAAGCAATGGCTATGACTCATCCACATGGCTGACACTGACAAAGGTTCTGCAATCTGAGGTACAGAATCTCAGCATAAATCCTGAGGGGATTTCACTGACCTTATCAGAACCAAAAGCTACAACTCTTGTTGCATAGGTCCTGCTTTACCTTGGTCTTAAACATCCAGCAGAAAAGTATAAAAACGAAGTATAGGAAGTAAAGTCGTGCTGTTATATTGAGCTGTAGGGGACTCAGGTCAACAATTTCTGACATTGCCAGTCAAGCGGCAGACCCAATACTATTATAGACTACTGAACTCTTTCAGAATATTTTGCTGAGTTAACACTGCTATAATATTCAAATAACGGAACTTAACAAAAAAGGGGGGATACAGATGAATGTCCATTTTGTATCTGTATATTCAAAGTGGTTAGGAGAGATATATAGTTACATTCTCTTAATGAATAGAGGGATTTGTTCTAATAGTGTTTGTAAATAGGATTTCAAGCCTGCATCTTGTACAGCAATTAACCACTAGGAAGAATGTATGCAGTGTGCTAATTATTGAAACTGTCCTACCAATTTGGTTTGAAACTGTCTCATTTCTATTTGTTTCTCAATAAAATTATGGAATAAAAAATAAAACAAATACAAAGATAACTCTCACACATATCTAGCCTTTTTACTGATGTAACCTCCATGTCATAGGAGTTAAGTTCGTAGATCTTCACTGAAGCCTCAGTTAATAATTTACTTTGATCAAGTTAGCAAATGCTTAGCTAGATCTTTCCTTTTTCTTTTGTTCAAAAGATACCTGAATCCAATCTAAATCTCATATTTCATCCATGTGAATGCTCATCAGAAAATTTTCTCAATTACCTCATTGAGGAACTCACTGAAAATTTTTTCATTGTTGCTTAGTTCATTTCCATTCTTCAAATAATGTGCCATTTGTATCACTCCACCTGGAAACCGATATTCTTTTGAACCTGAGTCAGCATTTAAGAAATAAAATAAGATCAACCATTAAAAAATGATAAAGTAGAAATATTTAACTAAAAAGCTTCATAAAACAGTATATTATACCTTTAAGGTCAAAAAAGTATCTCCATACAAGGTTATCTGGAGACTGTACATAACTAGCATTCATAACCAGCTCTGCCAGGTTGTGAGGAAGATTAATCCCCTGGTCTTCTGTTTGCTTATGAAATTTCCTAATGAAATTAACTCCACCTTCAGGCTGAAACACACAAGAAACTATGTAAGATGTTTGTTGGACATTCTACAAATTGTAATAATAGAAATGTGAGTAGCTAAAGGTAGGATAGGATAGTCCCAGGTGGTTCTCATGACTGAGGCAGAAGGGCTCTCCTCAAGTAGCATTATGCTTATAATACTTGTGAAAATCCCATAAATTTTTAGTGTTTTGGTTTTAAATATTTGGTATTTTATGGTAAATAAAACCCCTACAATTTGTTTATCAGTAAAATTATGGCAAAAAAAAGCCCTACAAAAATACACATGGGTCTACATGCTTACCAATATTCCCTCTAATGAACCATTTCTCTTATTTCTCCCTATAGCATTAGACTACCAGAGTACTCTAAGATAATCTCAAAACTTCTTAAGCAGATTCCTGAGCTGAGCACAGAAGCCCCTCCATTGCTCATCCTGGGCCATCACCAAGTCTTTCCCATTGGCAATGTCAGCATCCATCTGTTAGCAGCCACAGCCAGCCCTCTGTAACAGCGCCAGCCCCGCCCCACTGCTAGTGCCCTTCTACCCCAGTAACACCGTACATAGGTATTAGAAGTGATTTATAGTTAGATAGGAATAAGAAGTTCTGCTGCACTATTCCATAGTAGGGTGACAATAGATAATATAATGTACTACACATTTTAAAAATCTGGAAGAAAGGATTTAAGTGTTTTTTTCTCATAAAGAAAGAAATAGTGAATGTTGACGCTATAGACATGTTTAATCTGATTGAAAGAGCATACAATGTGTACATGTATCAAAATATCTCATGGTATTCCATTCATATATACAATTTTGTTTTATTCATTAAAAAGTAAAACTTTTTAAAAGTAGCAATTCTTGAGGAAAAGTATTGGATTCTCAGTATGAGTTTAGGGGAAAAATGATTCCAATATCATCCACAAACTTTCTTCATAGAAAGAATAAGTAAGCTCATGATTTATCCAAAATATAAATTACAGCAATTTTTCCATTGATTATGTCACAATCTCCTGCTAACACATTGTAAGTTCCTATGGAAACCCTCCATAAAGAAAAATAAAAAGTAACTCAATTGCCTAAAAGTTTTGTCTTTAGTAAGAACATAAGAAACATTTTTGAGTCAATGATTCAACTGTTACTATACCTATGAGCAAAATTTTGCATCTGTGCTCACCGCTTCCCTATAAACAAATAGTTCTACCATCTTGGAGATTATATTATAAATATTTTCATGGTGAAAGGGATTTTCAAAGCTGTACATACCTTAAGAGACCTGGAAGCAATGTCTTCAGGTGTAGAGAAAAATACATCATCAACATCCAGAGTCTGAAGTTCATCATGTGTAGAAAAGAAGAGCAGGAAAAAGCAGTCTTCATTACCCACATTCTTTACCCAGTGCAGTGTATTTTTAGGGAAGAAGATTACTTGGCCAGCTGTGACATTGTATGTGGTAGCTACTTCACCACCATCATCTACCACCCCAATCCATGCTGTGCCCTGAAATATGAACAGAAAAGCATATCCCATATCACTTTAGAGTGAGGTTTTTTCAATTTTTCACTGCCTGATTCTAAGACATTAGCTCAGATTTGTTTCCTAGTACCACCACCCCATGAAATTTTAATTGTGCACTTTCCAGTTAAGAAAAGACATGCACACAATTTTAATAATAACAGGAGCTAAAACTTGGTGCTTTTATTATTTCAGGTATTCATGTGAGCAATCCATCTGATTCAATTCAATTATTACTTATATCAATCCTATGGGCATAATACTTCATATTTCCCATTTTATACGTGAGAAAACTGAGGTTAGCAGGCATGTATAATTTTCCCAGGGTTATTCATCTCAGTCAAGGTAAAGCTGGGTTGGGACCTCAGCAGTATGGCTCCAAAGTTGAACTTTCATCCATAACATACTTTAATTCTGCTAATATGAATTCTATACCTTCTCTCATTTTGTACCCTATTCTTCAGTATTACCTTTAAGGTATCTAGAGAAGATACCATTATTTCTGTATCAGAAACTGATGTTCACATACTGTAACATGTTCGGGTGGCTGAAAAGCCTTTGAAACAGATATAGAACCTGAATGTAAAAGCTATATATGACAAACCTGCAGTCACCATCACACTAAATGTGGTAAAGCTAAAAGCATCCTGCTTAAAATTAGAAGCAAGATAAAAATTCCACTATCACTTCTTCTATTCCATACAGTTCTTGAAACATTAGCTGTAGAAATTAGGCAAAGGAAAGAAATAAAAAGGGATACATAGAGGAAAAGAAGAAGTCAAATTATCATTATTTTCAGATAACGTGATACTCTACATAGAAGATCCCAAGAACTCCACTAAAAACTCTTAGAATTAGTAACAAACTTCTATAAAGTAGCAGAACACAAGATCAATACACAAAAATAATTTGCATTCATGTATATCAACAATTAATGGGATGAAATTATGAAAATAATACCATTCACAGTAGCTTCAAGAAAAAATTAAATACGTAGTAATTAGCCTAAGCAAGGAAGTAAAAGACCTCTATAAAAAACCTAGAGTACCTTGAAAGGGAAATTGAACAGGACATCAGAAAATGGAAAAATGTCCCCTCCTGCTGGTTATACAGAATCAATACTGTCAATGGCCATATTCTCCAAACTGTTACACAGATTAAATGTAGTCTCAACCAAAATATCAATAGCATACTTTACAGATCTAGAAAAAATAATTGTAAAATTCATATGGAGGTCCAGTGAGAAAGCTCAGCAGCCTAAGCACCTACTTTGGCAAGAACAGGGGCTGGGGCTGCCCTGAGGTGCACTGAGCTGGCCACTGAGTCTGGGCATGGTGGTGAATGCCTGTAATCCCAGTGTTGGGGAGGCTGAAAGCAGGAGGATCACTACAAGTCCAAGTTGTGTAGAGAGACCCTGTACCAAATACACAAATATTTTTAAAAAATCATATGAAGCCAGAAGAGACCCAGAATAGCAAAAGCAACTTTCGGCAAGAGCAAAGAAGTGAGATATAGCAATACCTGACTTCAAGCAATACTACAAAACAATAGTTATAATAATGACCAGGCACTGGAAAAGACACAGATATGAGAATCAATGGGACAGAACTGAGGATACACAGCCAGAGAGATAGCTCAGCAGGCTAAGCGCCTGCTTAGGCAAGTTCAGGGACCAGAGTTCAACCCCCAGCACAACATGCAGCATGAGCCCTGTCCCCAGGGGTGCTGAGCTGGCCATCAAGACTGAGTATGATGGTGCATACCTATAATTCCAGAACTCGGGAAGCTAAAAACAGGAGGCTCACTACCAGTCTAAGCTGTGTAATGAGACCATGTACCAAATACATTAAAAAAGAAAGAACTGAGGATATAAAAACTTCTCCAGACACACTCAACTATCTGATCTTCAACAAAGTGCCAAAGCATATGTTGGAGGAAAGATAGCCTATGCAACAAGTAATGCTAGGAAAACCAGTTCTCCCTGCAGAGGATTGAAACTGGACCTTTATCTCCCACCATATTCTGAATTGAAATCAAAATGGACCAAAGATCTAAACATTAAAACATGAGCATTATATATGTTCCCAACATACTTTGCTGCCTTCTAAGTCATTTACTTTGCAACACATTACTGCACAGTTGTAAATAACTTATATACTGTAACATCACTTTCAGTTATGTGTAAAGAAATTAATTAAAGTGCTAGAAAAAATTAAACCTACCGGAAAATAAAATAGGTAAAACACTTGAAGACATAGGTGCATGGAAGGATTTTCTAAACAGAATTTTAATTGGACAAGAAATAGTGGCAGGAATCAGTAAGTGGGATTATATAAGACTAAAGAGCTTCTGTGCAGAAAAGAATGAACCAGTAGAGTAAAGAGAAACCTAAAGAATGAGAAAAAACTTTTTCCAGCTATTCCTCAGACAGAGGACTAATATCTAAAATACACAAAGAACTCAAAAATTTAACCTAAAATTAAAGATCCAGTCAACAAACAGACAAACAAAATGAACAGACACTTCACAAGGGAAGAAACACAAATGACAAACACAAAAGAAACAGTCATTGTTGGTGGGAATGTAAGCTAGTACAGTCATTATGGAAATCCACATGGAGATTTCTAAAAGAACTGAAGTTAGAATTCTATCAGACCCAGAGATTATTCAATCACCTGGCTAGGTACCTTCCCCAAAGTGCTTAAGTCATCGTAGTACAGCAATGCATGCATACCAGTGTTTATAGCAGCATAACTCATGCTAGCTAAATCCTCAAAACAACCTGAATACCCATCAACAGATGACTGAATTTTAAAAAGCAAAGGAACATGTGCTATTTATCTATAATGGAATACTATTTTTCTACAAAGAATTACAGATTTGAGATGCTTGTAGGAAAATGGATGCATCTGGAAAATATAATGTTGAGTGAAATAAACCAGATACACAAGTTTAAGTACTATCTGGTATTTCTCATTTGAGTGAGGCAAATTGTAAATAAGAGAATAATAAAGGATGGATAGAAGGAGATGAAGAAATGGCCTCTTGCAAGAGGGAAGTCCAAAGAAAAAGTGTGACGGGTGAGGAAGAGAGGAAGGGAAAATAAACAGGATGATGACAGGCCATTCTCAAGAGCCTAATAACCGAAGTAATACAAATATTATATGCTATAACATGAGCTAAGGTTAATAATATCAACAAGAATGAAAAATAGGATACAAGAATTAGGGGACGATGGAGAAAGATGGAAGGAATTTTTTTTAAAAAAGAAAAAGAAACAACCTGTAGTATGTAGTAACCACTCCCCAAGAAGACTGTAAACATGTGCTAATTAAAATTTTTAAAGAACTCTTTGTTCTGCTTATAGAGACATGCATAATTTGGATTCAGCTGGGAATTAAAATGGAAAGGTGAACATTTAAAGAGCTCTCTCCAAGCCAGTGATACAGCTCAGTAACATAGCACCTGCCTGGCAAACTCAATGTCCTAAATTCAATTCCCAGTTCAAAAAACAAACAAACAAACCAAAAAAGAGCTCTCTTTTTGTCTGAATACAGAGGACAGGAATGTCTACTTATTCTTATCAGGTGATCAACTCCCTAGATGTAAGGCAAAGGCAGGATGATGCTGATGGGATCCTTACAGTGATGAGTGAGCCAGGAATACCAGCTACCTCAGCTGCCTGGCTTCTCTCAGCCTCAACTCCAAGGCATCTTGAAGATGCTCAGAAGCAGTCCACATGAGTGAGTACAATGGAGCAACCTCTTACTCATTCTGTTTGATGGGTTTTTGCCCTGACTATAAGTGAGTGATCTCAGTTTTCCTGGGCTCTAGAGAATATTCAACATCATGCAGTCCAATTTTGGAAATTTAGATTGTAAAATCCCTCTGGACTTGGAGAACAACCTCTCCAGACTAAGCTGGATCCCAGAGTCTGCTGTCCACTCCACCATGCTCTAGTTCAGTGTCCCTAGTGTGGAGTTTGCTGCAGGGAGCCCCCTCCAGGAAAGTCCACTTTGCTGGCTTTTCTTTCTCTTTATACTCTAACACTGATCAGTGAGGATATAAAAACTAATTTTTTGGAGAGTATCTCCATTACATACTTTATATATATGGAAAAAAAACAAAAAGTCAGAAAGCAATGACTTTGTCCCAGCCAGCCAACAACTTCATATACCCACATCCAAATATCCGAAAAGATGTACATGATACATAGAAGATAGATGATAGATAGATAGATAGATAGATAGATAGATAGATAGATCTTTAGAAAAGCTTCCTAACCTCTCTGAACCTTTCATGAGAAATAAAGATTAGGTTTCATATAGATAAAGCTAATATTTTTTCCTGTTCTAAATTCTAAAACTGAATGAGGGCAGCCAGAGAGATAGCTAAGTGGCATAAACACCTGCCTGGCAAGTACAAAGTCCTGAGTTTGATCCCCAGTACCAAAAAAAAAAAAAAAGTGTCTTTAAAACTGAATGAATTGTCCAAGTAAAAGAGAGGGGCTTAATTAACAGTAGCAAATATTACACCATAAAATCATCTGCATATCTGTTAACTAGAGCCCGAAGGCAAAGCCAAACTCTTGAAAGTACTAGAGAAAGGTTAGTCACTGCCATTTCTCCAAGACCTAGAAAACAGAAGACCAATAAACACACTAGTTCATTTGGAATTAATAAGTTATTTGAAATTTAAGTAAGTACACTATTTCACTTCCATCGGTCTGTATTTCACCTGACTTCAGAACACTCTGAAAGGGCTAAACCACAAAAGGCCATCCAATTACACCTGTCTTAGAAGCTCCCAACTGAACACTAGCAAACTAGTTTGTTATTCTAGCTGCTACTTTTTTCTTTACAACAAAGCTGCTGTGTCTTTGATCATTAGATCATAGTTGCCAATTTTGGCTCAGAAGACCAAATAGTAATCTTATTTTAACAATAGTTTGTGAAATATAATTTCATACTGAAGAAAAAAGTTCAAAGTGATGACAAAAATAATTAAGCAGACCTATGCTCAGACGCACTGCTAGCCAATCTAACTGAATCTACTTGAAAGCCTTGATATTCATCTAATAATTAAGTAGGGTGTTAAGAGATTTTGTAACAATTTAAAATAATACCCTGAGGACATACACTGTAGCTGCTAAAAGCAGAGTGTGGGTAGACCAGTTATACCTGTACCAGATAGCCATGTTCATTGGCATTGAAGTGCCAGTGAGGGGCCCGGAGGCCCTTGCTCTTTATTCTCAGGGTACCCAGAGTCATCTGTGATCTCTGACTGTTCAAGCTGGTGCCAAAGGCCTCTTCTTCATCACTGACATAGTCTTTGATATTGTTCCTATACCGGGCCCACTGGATCGCACCACCAGGGAACTCAAACACCTAAAAAAATCAATAAGAAATCATTATCATGGAGGACATCTCCTAAGGAACGTGAGGATACCAGTCCTATATACAGAGTAGGAAGGAGGCAAAATGGAAAAGGCAATGGTGGTGAGGTGAATTTTGGACATTTGAAGACAAGGAATAGCTCAACAACAGGGCAGGAATGATAATAGTAGACTATACAGTGCTCCTAGTCTAAAATATGTTAGACATAGAAAGGACACTGAACTTGGCAAGTGAATAAAGGAATTTCCACTTGTTCATCTGAAATAGACCCTCCAGCTAGACACACAAGATTACTGAAGAAATTTATGCCTGAGGCCCACATCAACCCACTTGTTCCTCTTCTCTATCCTCCACTTCCATTCCTCCTACTGCCCTTCCAATAAAAAAAAAAAATAGAAAAAAAAAAGCTTAGCAACATGCAATGGAAAGACAGTTTTGAAATATTTAGAGGTTTATATTTTCAATGTCATGATTTATACCTTTGACTTAGGTAAATGGTTAAGAAACTGGAATTTGGGATCAACAGCCTTCTGTACGTTGAGAACTGCTGTTGTTCTGGTTGACCAAGCAGGTTGAAGCTGAACATTTAAGCGAGGCTGGGAGTTAACGTAAACCAAGGAGACAATCAGTACTCCTATTGCTGTGGTGATAAAGCAGGCCAAGAGACACATAAGGAAAATCTTCATCAATGACCATGGCTTCTTCTTTTCCTAGGAGAAATTATGAGGCTATTATTCTCTATTTGTGACATATCAGAAACACTATGTCATAATGCCCATATTTCAGGGGAAAAAATGAACCTTCCTACACTACTGGTGGTTTTAGTACTACTATGGAAATCATATGGAAGTACTAAAAAAACTAAAACTAGAACTACCATGCGATCCAGCTATAATACTCCTTGACATACACTCACAGGAATTAAAGTCAGTATATCCCTTTTAGGGTACCTACATACCCAAGTTTATTGAGGCACAATTCACAATAGCCAGAATAGAGAACCAGCCTACATGCCCATCCATGAATGACTAGGGAAAGAAAATGTAGCATATGTACACAACAGCATATTATTCAGCTGTAAAGAAGAAAATTATAGAATTTTCAGGAAAATGGATGTAACTAGAGATCACTATATTAAGAAAAAAATCCCAGGTTTAGAAAGTTAAGTGTCTCATGTTTTCCCTAATATGTGAACTCAAAATAGGAGAGAGGGAATGAAAGTACAAGACAGACTCTTAGACAAAAGGAAGGGGAAAAGGATTGGGGGATAGGGATATAAAGTAGGGAGATAGGAGAGTAAATCAATCAAATATATGCACCTATGAAAATAAGACATTAAAACCCGAAATTTTGTATAACTAATAGATATTAATTAATTTTTTAAAAACAAGAAATTATAACACAGGCAGATGGGGTGGATATCATTTGAAGACATTAGAATATAGCTATCTACAAGCCACAGACAAAAACCTAGAATGAAACCAATCCTGATGACACCCTGATGGTGGAATTCTATTATTTAACTTGCACTCTCAAAAAAAAAAAATTACCTTTTCTATTTTTTTTTTTCAGTACTGAGGATGGAACTCAGGCCCCTGTGCTTGCCAGGCAAGCACTTATTCTACCAAGCGATCTCCCCAGCCCTCTATTTTCTTAAATGTGTCTTTCTACTAATTTCAACTATATCTGACTGATAAAATCAAAGAATTTATTTGAAAGTGGACTTAAATTTTTTATCTCTTTTAAATTGAATTAAGAAATGATCAGAACAAGACATACAACCTGTCCTAATAAGACACCTGGCCTGTGGCATCTTTCATGAGCTCTGTGTTTGGATACTGGGGGGAACAAGTCTCTAGATAGAAACACAGAAATTTTGCAATGGAAAAAGTGCTAAAGATTTTAATTAACCTCCATGTCCCGGTTCCCTGGTAAGGCTCAGAAAGGAGCAATGATTTGTGAAAAGCAACCTCTTGTCTGTAACTGGAAGTCTGCAAAGAAGTCCTCTGGATTCTGCACTGTTTCCTCTAAACCATAGCACTACAACTCTACATTATTTGGGGATCATTAAGACTTAAATTCGAATGACAGAACTAAACAAAAAAGGGAATACAGATGAATGTCCATTTTATATCTGTGTATTCAAAATGGTTAGGATAGATATATAGTTACATTATCTTAATGAAAAGAGGGATTTGTTCTAATAGTGTTTGTAAATAGGATATCATGTCCACATCTTGGACAGCAAATAACCACTAGGAAGAGAGTATGCAATGTGTTAATTATTGGAACAGTCCTACTGATTTGATTTGAAACTGTCTTATTGTTATTTGTTTCTCAGTAAAATTATGGAAAAAAATAAAGCAAAAAAAAAAGGACTTGAATTAATTCTGGCAGTACAACATTTTCAAAGAAAAGGTGACATTTACATAAATCTCTAAGCTCACATTTGCGTTAATTTTTAAAAATGACAGCATATAACTTTATACATCTCAAAAAGCATTACTTTACTCAATACAATTGATATTTCTTAGTTACTGACTTTCATTAGCATTTCTCAACTTTTTTCTACCATATTCACATTAAGACATACAGATCTTATTGTGATCTAGTATAACACATATATGTAAATATAGACAAAAATATACATATACTCTATACAAACCATTTAATAAAAATTTACCAAACAATACTTGTATCCTATTCATGTTCAAATGCCAATTTCAACCCCTATATGTATTGCCAGACTAGAATATTCAACTTGGAGTTTACCTAAATCTCTTTAAATAAAAGACAAGACAAAATATTATCGTGCCTCCTTAAACTAATAAAAGAAAGAAAACGTTATGAACAGGGACAATAAAAAATCAACTGAACAGAAAAATAAAAATTGAAACTTTCTTCCTTTAACTTCTCTAAAGTTTACTGACCAGCATGGATAAGATATTACCTCTAGTAGGTCCCATTGAAACAGTGTTTTACTTAGTGATAATAATCATTAAGTTAAACACCACAGCACTATAAGCAGCCATCCAAAGTGTATTAGGCCATTAGTAAAGACCTAGAGGAGATGTGAGTTTATAAAGTTTATGAGAGACAAGCACAGCAAGAATAGAGCAGGAGATGCTAACCTCTTGAGGAGAAGACATGACCTAAAGAGTGGGTCTTTCCTGAGCTCTGCATAAGTGTCTCAGGGGATGTAACCTCACAACCTAAATCCCACCTTACCATTCTGGATATGGTGCTTATCTTTCCCACAGACCGAGTATTCTGTGCTCCATCTTCATGTATTTCAAATGCTGAGTTGTCCATTGGCAGAAAGGATCACACAATTCACTGGAAAAGCAAAAAGGGAGAGAAAATCACAGATTTAGGAAACTGGGAAAACCCTAAGAGGAGAATAAGAACCTATAGGTAAGGGAGTACTTATATAGAGCTGACAGTTAAGGAAGTTAAACAAGGAAACTGGCCCTCAAGTTAGAATCTTGGTTTAAAAAAAAAAAAAAAAACTAACTTGAAAGAACTGTCAAACAAAAGGCTAGTTAAGATACTTCCTTTGGTTCCCATTTTTAGCACACTGATATACTCAGTGTGTGCCAGAAATTATGCGAAGTGTTTTACAAACATGTGGTTTCATTCTTACCATAAATCTATCAGGTGACATAATTACTCCCATTTTTCAAATAAAGGAAACTGATAACACATATACAGACACTAATCATCATTGCTAACTTTTATTTCCTCCTCTTACTAAGTGCTTTACAAACATGGTGATCTCACTTTCATAGCAACTCTGTAATGTTCTACAGTGATTCCCTTTTCAAATCAGAAAACTAAGATAAAAAAGTGCAGGAAATGCCCCAAAATCAGAGCCAGTTTTAATGCTAGGCCAAAGTACCTACTATCTTATGAGGAGACATGGACTAAAAAGTGGGTCTTACACTAATGTAATGTACCATTACATTAGTACATTATTGGTAAGATGAAATCTTTTACACCCAAATCAGTCTTGCCTGGAATATTATTATTATTTTGTATTTAGTACAGGGTCTACGGTGTCTCACTACAAAGATCATACTTGTAGTGATTCTCCTGTTTTCAGCCTCCCAAGAGCTGGGATTACAGGCACGTACCACCATGCCCAGTCTCAGTCCCCATCTCAGTGTGCCCCAGGGGCAGGGCCAGCACAGAATGCCAGGGATTGAACCCCAGTCCCTGCTCCTGCCTAAGCAGACACTTTAATCCCCGGAGCTATCTGGCTGACCCTGATTATTTTTTTAAAAGATTGAATTCTGTATTTTGCAGCAACATTGATAGAACTAGAAGAGATTGTGTTAAGTGAAATAAACTCACATAGAAACACAAATATCACATGTTCTCATTTGTATATAGAAACTAAAATATTAGTCTCATAGAAGTAGAGAATAGTGATTATCAAATCAGTATACAAGAGCAGAGCTAGATTAATGGTAGTTAATAGGGACAAGGGTGTAGACAGATAGAAAGAATATCTTCTAATGTTCCATAGCATCATAGAATAATATTGGTCGACAGCAATTATTCAAACAATATTTCAAATAACTAGCAGAGAGAATTCTTTTCAATGTTCTATCAAAGAAATAATAAAAATCTGAGGTGACAAGCCAACAACATCGATTCAATCATTACATATAGTATACATATCTGGAAATATCACATTGTAGCCCATAAAATGTGTGAATGTCTCAATTTAAAATTTAAATATATGTATATTTTTAAAAGGAAAGTCACGTGATCAAAAGGCAAAAAATCCAGGAATTGTTACAGATCATGATGACCAAAGAAATATGGCAATTAAATGAGTTAAATTATTAGAACACAAAAATGACATTACAGAAAATCTAATGAAATCTACAAGTAAGGTCTATATTGTAGTTTAGCTAATAGCACCATGCTAGAACTATGAATATTGTGCTATTATTGTGTAGGTTATAACATAAGGAGAAGGTGGGAGAAATATATTCAGAATATTATCTTTTTTTAATGTATTTAGTACAGGGTCTATAGGGTCTCACTACACAGATCAGACTCATAGTGATCCTCCTGTTTTCAGCCTCCCAAGCACTGGGATTGCAGGCACAAGCCACCATGCCCAATCTCAATTACTGTCTCAGTGCACCCAGGGGATGGGGCCAGCACAGCACACCAGGGATCAAACCCTGGTCATTGTATCTGCCTAAGCAGGCACTTTAATCCGCTGAGCCTTATGGCCAGCCCTATTCAAGAAACTATCTTGACAACTCTTAAAATTCTGTCAAAGAAAGGGGGATAAAAGAGAAAGCAAGGAAGTAGAGGAAAATGTATGTTTTACTTTTTATGAGGCACAAAAGTAGTGCATATTTCCTATTACTTACATTTAGGTTGCCATGAGAGTACATTGTTGACAGAATGAGTAGAAATTCTGCTTTCCATTTCTAATCTAAGTCTTTTGGCCAGGGATGTGGCCCTTGCCTTGCATGCACAAGGCCTTGAGTTTGATGACCAGCAGAACACAGAGAGAGAGAGAGAGAGAGAGAGAGAGAGAGAGAGAGAGATCTCCATTCCAAGGCTTTTTAAAAGGGCAAGCACCTAATATGTCTCATATCATTTTTATCAGCTGGATAGGGGGCCCAGCCCTAGCTCAGTTCTTTAAGTGGCAGCTTCCACAATGCTGGCAGCCTCAGTTTGCTGTACTTCGATCCCCACAACACTCCAGCCATGCAAAAGTTCCCTGAAGGCATTCAAGGA